AGGTCACTCTAAATGCAAAGCGGTCCCATACAGCAGACCTATAAAGTGCTGCTGGTGCGTCTTCCAACTCCTGTTCTTTCCCACTCGCCATACCCACACAGTTCTCCACAATAACTGATTTTTTTCTGCTACACCCGGCTATGCTGCTTCGCTTCTTCTTCTTGTTTACTACTGGTGGTTGGCTTTGGTCGCAGTACCGCCACCTTCTGCTCTGGAGTGTACACGCTTCGCCTATGAGAAAAAGGAGCAGCGCATGAAGCAAACGAAACACACGCGAACCGAGACAGTCGAACCGAACGGTTCGGACGGTTTTCATAAACTGTTCCATCCCTACTAAGCAGTGTTGTATTTTTTGAATTACTCTCTGTTGCCCCCTTCTGCCAGTCTCCTTTCCCTTAGCTCCTTCTGGTTACTTCTGTCTACACCTGCTCCCTATCAGCTGATTAGTCTTCCCATTGTTTCTGTCTCCCATACTGTATATTCATCTCCTGTTCAGTTACTCATTGGTGGATCCTCGTCATTTATTTTACATTATTCCTCCCTATTGTGTAGTTTTTTGGTTCTTGAGTTTTCTTGACAATCAGTTCTGGACTATGGATATTGTATTTTTAAATTTTTCATACAACTGTGCAAAATGCTCATTACAGTAAAAGTTGTCAACAACATGGTTTTCTAAAGGGATTTATAAATTGTGTTTGACTTGAATTGAATCTTATTTATGTTATATTGCTTGAAAATAATTATTTTCAAGTTTTATACCCACTTTATAGACTGTTGTAGCCCTTTAAACTAAATAAAACGAATAGGTGGCGTAACTAAATTGTCTTACCAAATACACCCGATTGGTCGCCAGTTTCGTTGCCAGTGTTCTCAGATATTTGGTCCATTTCATATATGGATCATATATGTAATATCAAACTCAGAGACCATAACTGAGTAACAAACTCGGTTATCTTTTTGGAGAAATAACTTGTAACTAGTTAAAAGTTACCTTTTAACTAGCATTACATAACAGGGATCAAGAATAGTGCAAGAATTTCTTGAAACCTTTATTCTTGAATACAACTTCTCCATCTTCCTACAGCAGCTATCTCTGCTGTAGTATCCAAGGCAAGGCAAGTTTATCTGCATATCACAATTCAATACAAAGAAGATTTAAAGTGCTTCACATGAATTAGATAATAAAATACAGGAAAAATAAAAGCAGAATAAAAGTAAAGTAAGATAAAACATTATAGAAGCAGGTAGTAAAACAAATATAACAGTTGGAGCACAATCTCAAACTAATGGTATCTTATTAACAGTTTAACAATCAAAGGCAGTTCTTATCAAATTGGTTTTTAACATTTATTTTAAAAAGCTCAGGCTTTCAGCACTTTTACATTCTTCTGGGAGTTGGTTCTAGATAGGAACTAAATGCTGCTTCTCCATGTTTGGTTCTAGTTCTGGGTGTACAGATTAGGCTTGGACTAGAAGACCTGACTCATCTGGGAGGTTTATATAGTGTCAACAAATCTGTTATATATTGAGGTGCTCATGGACTTTTTAGGTGAACCTATGAAGGGACGGTTGCAGCAATTAGTAGAACGATTGATCTTTATAAAGCTAACTTACATGCAGGAATAACAGTGGAATATAAACTTTACATTTGTTCATATCTATAATTATGCTACAACCTCCCAACCTTTTTAGCATTTTTATTTCCAAATCGCAATGTCCTTTGCACAAATGAAACACACTTGAAATAAAATATTATTCTAACTCAAATGTGAGAATAGTGCAAAACCTCACTGTGAAGTTATGACATGAACTAAAAACTGCTGTTTAACAACAGTGTGAATGTCTTTCTGCTTTGGCTTCATTGTGATTATTGTCTCCATCCATATACTGCAAAACTCAACGACATTGTTTTATTTAAAGACTTGCATATTGTTTTCTTCAAGCTTGTATATTTCTTCATTCCATTTGGTGATTTACAGCTTGCAAGGTGTTCATGTTTTGCAGCAGCCAGTTTTAGGTGTATTGGATGAATGTTAACCTGATATTAATGTCTTTACTGTTACTCATACAGTCAGTTTGCAATGGGAGTCATTAACGTTGCTGAGTCTATATGTGTCTTCTGTTGTTCCTTCTCCAAGTCTCCTTTGTTATCCAGTCTTTTTCTCCTGTCTTCTGTGTGCCTTTCACTCTGCTTCTCCATCTGTCAGCTTTTCCAGACACTGCTTTACTGTCTGCTGTGATGGTTTCCAACCTTGTTTTCATGCCACCTGGCTCTTTAATTTAATGACTGCAGTCCTGTTATATAACGAGCCCACCTACAATCACCACCGCATCATTTGTTCCTGTTTTGTTTGGGTTCTCATTTTTGTTTTTCACTCCCAGCATATATTTTCTTGGTGTACATTTATGCATTTGTATGCCTTTTCTCTTTTGAAAGGAAGCAAAAAGGAAAGTTAAAATCCCATTAGCCGAACGCCCACACATACTCCGGCCCCAGATAAATGAATCGGAAATGCTACCGAGTGCAGATAAGAATCTCAGTGACTGCAGCAGATATTACTGTGGGTTTAAGAGGAATTTGAGATCAGGAACATTCCTTGTCTAAGGAAACATTTGTCAGTATTTATAGCTGATCTGTGTTTTTGCATGAAGATATTACTGACAACGTAACAGCTTAGTCTGCAAAAAATAAGGGTGTTCTATATAAAGATTGTAATGCGATATTTTTTTTTAATTTTAAGTACAGTATACATTTTCAAAACATAAAAGATGCATTGAAAAGTTACTCTGTTACATTGAGAATGTGAATAAAATGTAAAATTTATTTGATAATCAGAAATATTTAAGTTTGACAAGTAAAGTAAAAAGAGAAGATATTGTAAGAGAGATCTGTTTTCATAGCACTGTACATTTTATAGTTTGCAGAAAAAAAAAGTAAGTTTTAGTGTTCTGTGCTTTCTGTGGAATAATAATAATAATAATAATTTAACTTTATTGATCTCACAATGGAGACATATACCTCTGCATTTAACTCATCCTTCTTGGGGAGCAGTGGGCTGCCATCGTGGGCTGCCTGGGGAGCAGTGTGGGGTTAATAGTCTTGCTCAGAGACCCAGAGTGACAGTCTGTGGGAGTGGGGCTCGAAATCAGACCCTCAGGATTCATACCTCTATGCCCTAACCACTTGGCCGTCACTCTAAAATTGTAGATTTCAGTTACTGTAGTGTTTCAGTTGTTTATTAAACTCTGCCTAAAGAACAGAGAACCTGATACAGACAGACTGTGAGCTGCAGCAGCATCAACCTTTCTCTTACAGAAAAAAACTATTGTAAAGAGAGATTACCCAGATTTATCAGACCAATAAACGAATATATGTATGGCAATCATTTCAACTAAAAATGAAATATTTCTCTTAAAACTGAATAGTCGTGTTCTATGCCTACAATAAAAGGCCCCAAAACCATTTTATCTTAATAAAGTAAGGTTATATACTCCAAACGTCATCTGCTATGCTGCTATGCTGGAGAATGCTGCAGTACTGAAGAAGAATCCGAAAGCCAGATGGCAACAATTGAGGTAGCCACTTAAAAGAACCTGATGGTCTGACCCATATGAATTAAATAAACTGATCTACTGTACAGTAACTCTTAAGTTGTAGTGAATCATCCCGAAAGTCTCCTATCAGAACACTGAGGAAAAGGACAATTCCCATTCCTACCAAATGCAAACAAGGACACAGCATCAAGGTATTAACCAGTTAATCATATAATAAATCTATTTGTATTGGAATTTGAACTTAGACTATAGAGTCCAAGAATACTAAACCTCAATGTTCAAACTGTATTCCAAACGACATTTGTGTTCTATCCTTGTTGGAATCCAATCTTTTTTTATAGATCTTGAACTTGTTTTCATTATGTTTGCTCTTCATTGAGAGGTGCTACCTACAAAGCCATGGTAGGCTAGCTCCTTGTTTACCCCCTGTTCACAAGCACGGCATCATACCCTCTTTGTTATTTTGAATATAGACAAAAGACTCTATTTACTAACAAAGGGACAGAAAACCAGGTGAAAAGCATAAAAATAACAAATATCCCAGCAGAATGCAGTAATCTTTCAGAAAAAACTTTATATGCAACTATAGTGTATTACTGTTATTTTTGTACATTGTTTATGTCGTATAACGTGAGTATGCACTTTTAAAAGTACTACATAGCTAACATTATGGATAAAGCTGATTTTATATTAAAGTGGGCCTTCCTCAGTTTTTGACATTTCTTCATGAACTGCTTACATTTCTAACATTTACCCTTTAAAAGTACTAAATAATTATCCCTTTGCCCTAAAATCTTTTTCTTTGTGTCTGGGTCTTTGGGTCCTAGACTGCTCCCTGGTTGTAGTTGAAATTGGTTAAATTCATTAGAAATTCCGCCATATTAATTTCAGATTATGCTCCTTTTCCATTCATTATCAGCTTCTCTGTTCTACATTTCAACATTCAAGAAGCGGCACACATTTTAATGCTCCAGGTTGCTCCCTATAGTACATTAAATCGTTAAAAAAGATAGCAGCGAGAACACTAATAATCTCTCCGCTCACACACACCGACCATCTGGCAAACTGCTTCCAGACTCTACACATCTCTAATGCTTCCTGTTTGCCTTTAATCAGAGCTCAGGTTTCAGGAAGACAGGATGCAATTAGACACAGGAGATGGCCTGAATGGGCAGGTTATCGACTGATGGACGGAAACTACCAGCATGTATTTCTCTTTAAGACAGTTTCAGGTATGACGGAAATAGATAGATTTGCAAGTTTGAAAAATTATTGTCTGTTTTGAGATTTTTTTTTTCAAACCCTCTCAACATTTTTTAGTGGCTTTCATTAGAAAAACATTTAAGCTCATTTGAACAAACTCCCATTTAAAGACAAAAGAGAGGTCTGTTGAATCCTTTCTGTTTTTATTTCAAATATTTTTCTTCACCCTTGTTTTATTACAGGAATGCAGGCCAAGAGCATTTGCTGTGTTCATTTGGCAATGGAACCAGAAGCTGCATTGGTTCTAATCTTACTGATATCTTCCTCAAGGTGAGCTCAAAACCCTGTCATTACCATTCCTTACTCTGATTGAATTAATTTTTAATAACTGTGCTATAAAAGTTGTCTGTTGTATCTACTGAGTGATAAATATCTTGGAAAAAGGCAAAACAAATACACAATTAAAATAGTAGTGAAAATGTGCAACTTTTCTGTACTAATTGTCTTGATTAAAAAAGGATTTTCATGCATTTTTGTTTATTTAATAAGAAGGTGTTTTTTCTGACATTCACTTATTTATGTGTAGATATTGCTTTTGCCATTTCTAGTTAGCCTGACTCTATGAAGGAGGGACATAAGGACTGTTTGTTTTGCATAAACAGAACTAGATGTTTCAAAGAGTTATTTTTATTCCTTTACATTAGGACCCACATAACTGTTTTTTCTAAATACACCAACCTACTAAAAGTTTTGCAGTACCTTAAGTACATATTTGACTGAGAGCATTTGTTTTTACAAACCTTCCTGCATTCTTGTCTGCCATGAAACGTAAAGGTTAGTATGCAAGAGATTTTGCTTTTTTTTTTTACATTCTAAAAATAGCACAAAAAATTATAAGTAAATTACATAACATATGAGTAACAGATAACAAATGGATTATTTAGAAATGAAGCTTAAGCGTAAGTTTAATCTGGAAGCCTCTTGTCAGCGTCACTTGAACCACTTGCGATGTCCCTGTTTCAGTCTAGCCAATCAACTCGGGGGCTACACCTTCTCCGAAGCCGATCATCTTGCAAGATCCCGTTCATTTAGCTCCTAGCCCAGCTTCTCTCTCCCGCATGCAAGCAAACTTTCACCCACCTCCACCTCATCTCCTCACTCATTCTCAGTACCACTCATCCTCTGGATTATTCTACCACCAGTGTCCGGCTCCCGGGGGAAGAATACTCTAATCCTTTTTTCAGTTATTCATTCAAGCATATGTTGATTCACAGCATCAAAGTCTTCTGCCGGGCCCCGAGCACCAAAGAACATATTTATGTCTTCATCTGCTTCTGTCTCCTTGAACCCCAGTCTGCCTCAGCAGATGGCCGCTTACACTGAGCCTGGTTCTGCTGGAAGTTTCTTTCTGTTAAAATTGAGTTTTACTCTCCACTGTCTCTACATGCATGCTCAGTGGGAGGGATTACAGAGAGTCAATGAGTCCTCACAATCAGCTGGTTTTCCTTAGGTAGAAATATATTGAAGAATATGATTGTGTTACCACTTTAAATAAATTCAATACTTTTCTGTTTGCAGATTTTCTCTGTGTGAGTCCCTCCAGGTAGTTTAATTAAATATATAGTTTTGGTAAATCGTGTAGGTAAAAAAAAAAAAAAGTGCTGCTTAGAATGTTTGATTCCTTTTTATATTTTATTCTTTTATTTGAGATGGTAAAACAGTTGTTGGTCAGCAAGCTTCTGTAACGTAGAACCACCCCCAGTCATCCTGTAAATAGATCACTGTTCATGGAAAAATCTGGCTGCATGTCAGTGCGTTGTTTATTGGATATACCTAAAGGAGAAATATGGAGGCGTTGTAACGACCTTGCAAACACTAAAGCAGAGAGCTACAAGGCACAAATGTTCACATTAACACTTGGGCTAAGGAACATTCAAGAAAAAAATCTGAAATTTACAACATTTATTATTTTAAACAAGGCATCACTTCTGGTCTCTTAATGCTTTCATACTTGTCACTTTTCTCCATTCAGGCCTGTATTATGCTTTAGATGCCTTTCTTCTCATTACTCTAAGTACTAGGATTTGCAAGAA